GATGACCTAATGATGGGGATTTCAACCCGTCCCCCGCCGACCGGAAAAGTGTTTGCGCAGCGAGACGCTACCTTTTTCTCATTCTTAAGTCTCCAAATTGATAAGTATGTTAAAGAATAAACTTATTAATAATTTATTGATGAAAAAGTAGATTTTTAAAGTGCGATCTCTCAATATAATTTATTTAATCAAAAAATGTCACCCGCGTTTACCCCCCTTTTTCCCCGTCCCCTGTGCTGGCAGGGAATGTTTCGAAAAAGCTAAGAGTGTTCAGAGAGTATTAACTTATGTCTATATATTTATGAATACAGATAGACAAACAATTACATTAATCCCATATTCTTATCTCCATTGTGCTTCACAAAGTGGACGAAATCCCTTGCTAAGGGAGTTGAAGTGGCGCTTTTAATCTGAATACGTAGAAACATTAGCGCTTTATTGATGTGTTTTAGCTTTCGTTAAGAGATATTAAAACGCATACGATTATAAGCATTTTTATGACCATAGATAGTGTAAAGCTAGCCCCAATTAGAAAAAGAACATCGGAATACTAGGATTAAAGACTCAGTGTATGGGCTTGACGATGAATGACCAAAGACATGCTTGCCAATCTAACCCTTAAATAGTAACATGCAAATGCTAGGATTAGTCAACAGTTCAATTAGTGGGACAGCTACACATGGAACTGTTCTAGCAGTTTTTTCTTTTACCGTGGATTTTTAGAATTACGCGATGCGAAATATATTTGCTTTCTTTGACAGGGGCTGATACTAATATACAATATCTTTGGTCATTTAAGGTATTTACCTTTTTTTACATTAACGGACACACTCAGGTTTACCCTTATTGCTTTCCGGCGGATTTACATTACTCAGCTTATTCACCACGAATCCGATAAAATGATGGTAACTAAGGACTTTTAGCATACAGAATGCGGTAAATTTTTCTCATAATGATGCGTGCATTCGCTAAATCATTTAGTATTGCGTATTGGTACATTTGACCACATTCTGTACCTGCGAATATGTAAACATTTTTTTTCTATAGCAAATTAATATCAGACAAAGTCTTGTTAATGAAGATTGAATGTATTTGCCTCGATAAGGCACTGTACTCGCCACCCATGATATAAAAGTTGCGTCTGTGTTAATCATAAGCGTCCATGACATGATTTACATATTAGACGAAGTTGATAAAAAGGGTAGAAGTTAATGAATTATCTATGCGTAATTCAGGTAGTTAATTTGCTTTTCACACTCTAGTAAACAAATATGAGAATACTTAAGTTTGCTAGAGTGTTGACGAATCCGATAGAAGTCTCTGAAGCTTTTTACGTGTAAATGTACATGTACAGTAATGTGTAAGGGCATGTACTCGTAGTACTGGTAATACAGTTTGCTATTTGTTAAGCGTTATTGCTGTTCAGACAGTGTAGTATTATAAATATATGTATACTAGCCATTATAATTAACAAGTTATGGAGTACCCATTGCGGAATATAATAAGTTAATTTAAAATAGAGTAATTAGGTCCTAAAAATTCAGTAACTGATAAAATGAGAAATGAAACCTACTTACAGATATTTTGCTTAATTCTGTCGCAGATTTTAGGACTTTAACAGCGTTGGCGTGTTTTGGTAGGTCAATTATGCAGTATAAATTACAAGAAATGAACGGTATAGCTATAAATACGTACATGTTTGTACAGTTGGACAAAAAATCTTATTTATTAGGGTCCCAAATGACAGCGTGAAAAGAAATTAACACATTTCATTAAATACTATAAGCCTGCTAATTTTGAAACTTTTCATTTAACATGAGCAAAACTTTAGGCCTTAGTCGAAATTTTATGCGTCTAATTATTATGTGACCGCTATATTTTTCGCGTAGACGCTAACCCTTTGGCTTGGCTATCGGCTTGTTATTCTTATCATTAATAAATCATTGTTAGTTTTCCAGAATACTCCAGTTATTGCCTACTACCTTGTCAATACATTCTGTCGTAAATATATAACTCCTAAAGGCGTACCAGTTTCCATGGCTCTGAAATGCTACCACTGTCGTGGCCCAGTGAGAAAAAAATCTCCAGATCACCGTTGACGTAGTGTCAAACAAAAAACAATATTGCTAAAGACATTGATTTATGTTAATACCATCTGGCGGACCAAAGGCTGGTCACCGGCTGACTTTCCCCTCAGGGAAAGTTTCTCAACCTTGCTTCAGTGCGTCGTGGATTACGCCAGATTTGGACATAATCCAGCACTTTTTGAAGGCATCATCCACCATCAGATACATTTAAATTGCAATGACACTTCCATTGATGGGTACGGGAAGTTTCCTGCGGAGACCGTTGCCCGGTTGACGTCCAGTTCGGACAGAATAGG